AGAGAGGAATTTGGATTTGGATTTTTTATTTTTAAGTTTATTTATTTATTTTATTATTATTATTATTTTCCAGATTTTTTAATTTTTCTTTTCAGTTTTACAAACTATATATTATTTATTTACCCCGAAAAGACGCTTTTACCCCTTATTTTAACAGATAAATTGACAGAATTGGACGGTAGGACCCAATTGCAACTAATTGTCTAATTAAAGGATGTAATTGCCATGAAAATTAGTTCACGAACCCAATTGCAACTGGGGCCATAGTTCACGGACGTCTACAGTAATTAACCCAAAAAGTTATAACCTTTGTTTTTTTTTCTCTTTTTTGGCGCTTTTTTACCTGTTCCATTCCAGTCCGGTAGTGCCCTCTGGGCTCCTCATCTTGGGACATCATAATTCACGCAACTCACCACAGTACTTCGCCGACTTTACGTATTCTCTTCTTCAGAGTTGAGACAATCGAAATCTACGCCCAACCCAAATACGCAAATAGAAATAGCAAGAAAGAGAAGGAGTGAGAGAGAGTAGAGAGCTTCTTTTTAGCTGAGATAGAGAGATAGAGAGATGGAGAGAAAGGTACTGCTGGTTTGCTGTGCAGTGGGTCTCTTGGGGCTATTATCAGCTGCAACAGGTTTTGGTGCAGAGAAAACAAGAATCAAGGTAAATCGAAAAATATTAAGTGGGTTTTGCTTAGATCTTCTTGTCCTTTTTTCATATGAGTTGGTTCAAATTTGTTTCCTTTCTGCTCATGTACTCTTCTAACCCTGCGTTTTGGTTGCTCTGAAATAAGGAAAGTGAAAGAGGAATCTTCAGTTTTGTTGTAATATTCCAAAATAGACCATGAAATTGTATTAGCATGGTGGACTGAAAGCTTAGGGTGAAAATTCCCAAGCTTGACGCTTCAATTTTTACTTTGCTTCGACCAAACTGAGAATAATTTGGATGATTTCTTTTCTTTTCCGCTAATTTCCTCTTTATTGTTATTTTTCTTGTTCCTACTGCTTCTGCTTGTAGTTCCTGTTCGAAAGCTGAAACCTTTTTTTTCGTATATTTTCATTTGGCACCCGAACCCAGCTCTCCTATTTAGTTTGGCTTCATAAGAAAATGGCTTCTTCTTTGACTGACTTCAACGCTTCCTACCCCTTTCTAGAAGACTGCCAGACTGGAAATTAATATCATATTTGGTGTTGACTTTGAATGTCTCTGCATAAACTTCCAAACTTCAGCTCTTTTATTCGCTTTCAATGCTTCTACTTTTGCGGGTTCCAAAATGAGGGTGCTCAAACTCGCTAGTTTCGTTTTCCAATGCAATTTTGCCTGTTGTTCACTGCATTAGAACGTGTTTTGAAAGTGCCTTAATGTTTTACAACTTGATTAAAAATCTCGTGTCATCTTCTACGCGCTATCCTTTCATCTTAATCTTTCTCTTTTTGAACAAATGACTCATCTTAACCTTCAATGCCAAAAGAGCAGTGTTTGTGTAAGAATCTAAGATGGAGGTTAAGGGAGAGAGTATGTCTTCCCTCTCCATCTGGCCGTTATTGTTGGACCTCAATTTGTTAGATATTCTCACAAGTTGTCATTTTTGGAGGGATTGTTTAAAACCTTTGAACAAGTTGTCCCTGATGTTGGGTTTAGTTTTTCCCCAGTTTTTGTTGACACTCAGTATGTAGTGGAAACGATGCTGGAAATGATCTGTTACTTTGTTTCATAACCCTACAGGGTTCTCAGGTTCAGTTTGTCTCCACTACTCAATGTGAATACCCTCGAAGTCCAGCTCTTGGTCTTGGTGTAACTGCTGCGGTGGCTCTTATGGTAGCTCAAATAATTATAAATGTTTCAACGGGCTGCATTTGTTGCAAGAGGAGCCCCCAGCCTTCCAACTCTAACTGGACAGTAGCCTTGTTCTGCTTTGTTGTTTCCTGGTAATTCTCAACTGAAACTTGGTGAATGGTGAATCGATGGTAGAACACTTCTTATCGTCTGATACTTTTATTATAATCATTTATGATATTATACTTGGGCTGCTAATCCAAAAGCATGCTTAGTTTTGACAGTTTGGCCTTTGTCAGGCTGAAAGGTTAAACAAGATTGGTTATCTTGCCAGTTTCTTAATGTTGTACAGTTTAAAAAGAAAATACCAATACTTATTTCCTCATCTTATTTTGGGTGCATCTAACCGTGTAAGTTGAGTTGGCTTTGAAATTTTTCTGTCTGTTTAAAATGGATTAACAATGGATGTGCTTCACTCCATACTCCACACTCCACACTGGTGCAGGTTCACGTTTGTTATAGCGTTTCTTCTGCTGCTCACTGGTGCTACACTCAATGATCAGCATGATGTAGAAAGCATGTACTTTGGCAACTACTACTGTTATGTTGTGAAACCTGGCGTGTTTGCTGGAGGTGCAGCTTTGTCACTTGCAAGTGTGGTACTAGGAATTGTCTACTATGTCACCTTAAATTCAGTAAAGGACAGTAACAGTCCATGGGGCACTTCTGCTCCTCCTTCTAATCCAGGGGCAATAGCTATGGGGCAACCCCAGTTCCCTCCACAGAGTACCACTCAAGAACCAGTATTCGTCCATGAAGACACATACATGAGACGACAATTCACATGATTCGTATATATCTTTGTTCAGTTATTCCTGTTGCATCACTGAACGTTTATGGTAAGAGAGCCTATGATCAGTTTTTGAAGAAGAAATGGTTGCCATTGTAGGAAATGGGCAGTTTTCTTCTTGCAGTGTATAATCTGTTGGTGGCATAGCTCTATAATCCCTGTTTCGGTTTGTCGCTAGAGTTCCTTAGGATTGTATTTGATTTTGTTTATACCACACATTGTGCAAGAAACCGAATGTGTTTGAATAGGAGCTGAATAGATTATTTAAACCTAAGGGAAATGCTTTCTGGTTCATCCATGGTAGTAATCTCTCCAAACTTTTGATTGTGGCATATTGCATGGATGAATTCGATGGTTTCACAAACTTTGTCCACTCTTGATCCAGCATCTTTTATTTTTTGTTATGATTTTGGCAGAAATGTATGGACCAATGGAGATATTTTGTAAAAAATTCAAGAAATTTTGACAGAATGGTGGGGGAGGGTTTGATAGTTCCATATAAAATTACAGGAAATATTTTTGCTTACCATTTTAACCCAAGGTATGCTCACCACCCTTCTTGTAACCCTAGTTATGCTTATGGACACGTGTCAAATGTTGAGAAGGGTAATGAGCATACTTGGGTTAAAGTGGTGAGCATTCCAACCTCATTTGTTCCTTTTCCTTCCCCCATTATTGCATTAACAAACTTGCCAATTTTTTTTTCTTTTTTTTGTTGTAAAAAACATCAATCTTACCGTTTTAACCCTCCAATTATTCTTTATTTTTAAAAAAATCTCCAATTTTTCGATAAAAAGAAAAAAATCTCCTTCAATTAAGGGAAAATTTGAAAAGTTAGATTATAGGATTTTTTTACTAAAAAGAAATTACTAGATACGAATTCCAACTCAGCGGTGTGCTGTATTTGACCAATGTGGTAAATGTCTTTTTACTGTAGTACCCCTGTATGTGGATGGTCTGTCGTCTCGATGGCCTGGGTCGATGCAGGGGGGCATTTTTCGTCACACAAAATTACAACGGCTCTGTGTAAATATAGCCGTTGCAGGTCTTCTCCAAATCCAAAATATTCCTTCTGAAATTAGATCCAAAGATTATATTCAGACTACCTGAAAACCCTAGTCATCCCCTTCATCTCATCATTATATAAACCCACTAATTCAACCTATCAATAATCACTTGCTCTCTCTCTCTCTCTCTCTCTCTCTCTCCCCTCTTCTCTGAATACGCAATTCTTTGCAACGCTCAGAGATTAAAAACGCGGCCTCCAATTTTCTTTTCTTGCGTAGTGATATACAATTCTTGAATCTAACTCTCTTTTGCAGGCCTGGTTTTTTTTACACTAATTCATCTTTTTGCAGGAATTTTCATTTTTGATTTCTCTGCTATTTCGTACCGTTTTCATTTTTTCACATATATACACACATATATTCTTTTGTGCGCATTAGACATAATGGATGCAGGATCAATGAGTTCTTCGTCTATCTTGAAGTCAGATTCTAGGTGCCCTCTTCGAGAACAGTTTCTTCAGAAAAGGAATTCTAGGGAAAATGTAAGCTTTTTTATTTTACACGTCGATCTTTATTACCGTCCAATCCATTTTATACCGGAAATTAGGGTTTTTATTCTACAGTGAATTGGATTTTCTTTACCGATTGGACTTTTCATTTCCGAGTCTTTTTACGCTTTTATATCTATGTATAGCGTTTGGGGTTCATGTTCATCTATTTTGGGATCTGATGTGGGGGGTTTTTTTTTCTCAAAATTAGGGTTCGATCTATATGACTACTGAAATCAGGTTTTCTGTTTTACTTTGAATTGGATTTTCCGATCTATACCAAGTTCTTTATATGACGTTTATCTTTATTAGTGTTCAGTCTGTTTGATTGCTGATTTTAGGGGTTCTGTTTTACTATTAATTGGATTTTCTTTATTCATTGGACTTTTTATTTCTGAATCTGGTTACCCGCATGTGTGTATAGGGTGCTCTGTTAATCTATTTTGGGATCTGATGTTAAATTGAATTTTAAAAACAGTTAGAAATGTGATTAAAATGTGGGTTTTAATATTTAATAGACTGATATTCTGATGTGCTTGTGTTATGTTACTACCAGCTGGACAGGTTCATCCCCAACAGATCAGCGATGGATTTTGATTTCGCGCACTTCATGCTTACTGAAGGTAGGAAAGGTAAGGAAAACCCAGCTGTGGTATCTTCCCCATCTAGAGAGGCCTATCGGAAGCAGTTGGCTGAGGCCATGAACATGAACCGGACGCGAATCCTTGCTTTCAAGAACAAGCCTCCGGCCCCTGTAGAGCTCTTCCCACGCGAGTTCTCTTCTTTACCACAAGATAAACCAGCAAAGCCCCGAAGGCACATTCCTCAAGTACGTGTATATTTGATTTTGATCTCATGAATGGATTATATTTGCTTGAACTTAATTGGTTATTTTGAAAGTATTTTTTGTGTTTAACTGACAACTTATGATTTGATCATATATGCAGACTTCAGAGAGGACATTGGATGCTCCCGACCTTGTGGATGATTACTACCTGAATTTGTTGGATTGGGGAAGCTGCAATGTTCTCGCGATTGCTCTTGCAAACACAGTTTATTTGTGGGATGCTACCAATGGTTCTACTTCAGAGCTTGCCACGTTTGAGGATGAAGTCGGACCTGTTACCAGTGTCAGCTGGGCACCTGATGGACGCCACATTGCCATCGGACTGGACAATTCTGAAGTACAGTTGTGGGATTCGACTGCTAATAAGCAGGTTGGTTTGTTTTTGTTGTCTTTTATCTTTGTACCTTCGTATTCCTCCCTTTCTGTTTTATATTACCTGCTGCCCAATTTTTCTAACATTTTTTTGGTTATTGTGATGTTTCTTTCTTTAGCTGAGAACTTTGAGAGGTTGCCACAGATCCCGAGTAGGCTCATTGGCATGGAACAATCACATTCTTACAACCGGTGGAATGGATGGCTGTATCGTTAATAATGATGTAAGAGTTAGATCACACATTGTTGAGACATACAGAGGACATGAACAAGAGGTTTGTGGGCTTAAATGGTCAGCCTCAGGCCAGCAATTAGCTAGTGGAGGAAATGATAACCTCCTCCATATATGGGACAGGTCAGTGGCATCTTCAAATTCACCGACTCAGTGGCTTCACAGGCTTGAAGACCATACAGCTGCTGTGAAAGCCCTTGCTTGGTGTCCTTTCCAGGGCAACTTACTAGCTTCTGGTGGAGGTGGGGGTGATCGGTGCATAAAGTTTTGGAACACTCACACAGGTGCATGCCTGAACTCAGTCGACACTGGCTCTCAGGTTTGTGCTTTGCTGTGGAACAAGAATGAAAGAGAGCTGCTTAGTTCACATGGATTTACCCAAAATCAGCTTACTCTTTGGAAGTACCCATCAATGGCTAAAATTGCAGAACTCACTGGCCATACTTCTAGAGTTCTTTATATGGCTCAGGTAACAACCTTAACTTTATAATCGTCATAAATCAAGTTTCATCTTAGACAAAATACTAAATTCTCTTATGTTGCAAATTATCTTCAGAGCCCAGATGGTTGCACAGTGGCATCAGCAGCTGGTGATGAAACACTGAGATTCTGGAATGTGTTTGGGGTCCCTGAGGTGGCTAAACCAGCTCCGAAATCTAACCCTGAGCCTTTTGCTCATTTGAATCGTATCCGCTGATCAAGAACATGAGGAAGTACATCCATATGGAGCCTTTTTGCATCAGTATTTCTTCATTTGAAGCGCAAGTTAAATTGAGAAAATACATATTTGTTGTGTTTCAACTCTTCATCAAGGTCTCAGACACGTGCACTGCACCTCTCAGTACAAAATTCTTTTTACAACTTCCCTGTATAAAAGTATAAAGAGTTGTAGGCAAACAGGAAATCCTTGTAATTATTTTTAGTAGTGGATTTCTCACTTTCCCGTGGATGTAGGCGCAAATTGCCGAACCACGTAACTTTTGTGTGTTTTGTCTGCCTTTGATACTTATGCTGAAGTGTTTGGTTTGATTCAAAAGAACACAGGATAGGATTAGATCATATATCTTCATATAAACATGCTAATGTATATCCTTTCCTACGTCACGCAATGGGTGCTCAATGGATTGGAAACTCTTTTAAAACTGATCATTGAAGCATTAGAATGGGAAGAAAATTAAGATAGGGCACCATCAAATTAAGCAGAAGCAAATATCGACATCCACATCCAATATGATCGATCAAATAATCTGTTCGAATAAAGTGGCATTCATCTGCACCAAAAAGTTTTCAGAACAATGTTTGATGGTAGATTCTCTCGAACGAATGGGAAGAAATCTACAATTTTTCCTGCTAGGCTGCTACTTCCTAATTTAAATCTTAAATCTTAAGCTGAAAATCAATCTTTGAATGGTATTTACTATGTCTTGAGGACTTAAAGTGGCATCGACTTTCAGTATCCCTTCAGAATCATCAATCTGAAGCAAGCCTAACTGAGACTGCAAAAGCGCAGGCGACATGAAATGCTTCCCTTCTGCGATTCTTTTCTCTAATCTAGCAGCCAGCACCTCTGCCTGAGCATCCAACAGGACGAACTTCACCAAACTGACATGACTTCCAGGTTCATAATTAGGGTCGGCAGATCGTAGAACTTCTCTGTATCGCTTCTGCAGAGCTGAACACCCAAGAATTACAGTTCCTCCATCGACCAACTTCTCTCTTAAGGCATTTCGAAGTGTTTCAAGCCAAGGCATTCGGTCTTCCTCTGAAAGGGGGATCCCTTTACGCATCTTTTCTAATTTAAGAAATGAGTATTTCAGAAGATAGAAGATTGTTTATCATCTTTATCCAAATATAGTAGAATATTGGAATGAAATCAGAAATCAGAGAAGTTGCCAACATCAAATACAAAGCTGCATGTACCTTTGTTTGATTGTGGATGGAAATCATCGGCATCAATAAAGTTAGAGTTCGTCTCTTTTGCCAGCATCTCACCTATCGTCCTGTTGAACAAAATATTGAAATGCATGAGAAGCAGAAGCTACAAAAGTGAAAGATCAGATATAAGAAGCTACAACTTTCTTAACTATGCCATGATATCTAAATCCAGTCACATAAAAGGCATTTGACAAGGTCATTAGGATCCAATGTGCTGTTGTAAACCGAAGCGCGAAGAAACATACACATGATTGTAATCCCATATTTTTCTTACACAGTTGTGCTCCTGAACATGGCTCTGCAACTCCTCAAGAAATATAGAGTTTGTTGGCTCAGTGTGACATGATAAGTTAGAATTGGTTGGAAAGAGAGATTTATCAATAAACAAATGATATTGTTTAGGCTAACAGTGAGTAAACTAATGAAATTCTACTTATAATATCACAAAAAGCTGGACATTTGAAGAAACCATCACATGTACGGAAATCAGCTTCCAAGAATTAGCAGTCCCATTGGAGATATTCTTGTGCTGAGATTTCCAGTCATGACATCAAACGACAGTAATATAGAGGCGGCTTTCATTACATACAAATCAAGGGCTCTAGAAACTCTTTCAAGAAAAGACTAGGGCTTATTTGCCTATTTTCAGACATATTCATAACTAGAAGAATTGTTAATTTTATAAGATCCTTGAAATTAATATCTAGAAGAGTGTGTTTTCGTACCCAGAAATTAGAATACTTATGAACTCATCAATGCTACCCGGTGGTTACACAGAATTTAAAGAGAAGAAGAAGAAGAAAGCAGAGATAAAGGCTTACGATTTCCCAGCACCACTGACACCCATAATCACAACAGCCATCCCTGTTAAAACGAAAACAGAAAAGGCAACACAATCCACAACCAATCAATTTCCATTCAAAAACAGATACAAAGTTCTTCTTCTTTATGATCACTTTTAACTTCATACATTCAGTGCAATACCTACCTCCGTGAGCTGAAGCCATGTTCTTCGCACCAATCAAACGAATCTACAAAGAATGCTTTTCTTCAAACTTCATACATTCGCACGTACATGCAGATCGCAGCAGAAGATAAAAAAAACCTGAGCTTTTTGGATCGACGAGGCTAACTGTGGAAATGTTTGGTAACCGTAAAAGAAAAAGAAGCGTTGACATGATAAGCAAGCGTTTGGTACACAAAACCCACGTCTGGTATACGCCCACGCCCTCAAGGAAGGTGAAAGGTGAAAGGTGAAAGCCGTGATCTTTTTAAACCCGTAAGCCACTAGTTTTAACAGTGGTCCTCTATATTACTTTCAAATTTGGCAGGCAACTTTAACATGCGTTTTCTGTTTTCCTTGTGCAACTTTCCAGCTTGTGTTTTCAACATGTGAAAACTACGCAACAGTCGTTCTCATTGTTATAGGTGGAACAAAACTTTTTCCAAGCGACCTAAAGATAGGCATAAACTTTTTTCAACAGTCGAGTTTTCATTTTCAAAACTTCTGTTTTAGTTCATTGATATAGGATGATCCAACTTATCTATCAAAACCCAAATTCCAATTTAGAGTTAACTGGATAATTGAGCCATGCACAAGTTAAGGATATAAGAAGTTATAACGAGTTGCTAATCAAGGGATATAAACATTATCAACATTGAATCTAATTGTAAAGTTCTCTTCTTTCAGGTTTTGCGCATCTCTCTTGTGCTGCAGAGAATACCAAGATCTGGTCTTTGCAAGTCATCCTAATCGATCATAAAAAGTAAGCTATTCATTAACTCGATGGTACAATAATGTCTTCACCAAGAAACAAGATTAGCATCCCCGCTAGAATCACATCTAACAAGCAGTCGGGCCTTGTCTTGAGCCCTCGTGAATTAAGAATGACCGCGTAACCACATCGATTTTCATCTGTACAGCCAGCCAGACCTACTCTCCTACTTCAACAAAAGGTAAACCCCTGGAAACGAAAAAAAAAAAACAGGCACAGGCACGTGCAAACAAAATTAGTGTGCGTTTTCAACTCTCTATCTCTCAATTAAGAACTAGGAATGAGGCAGCATATTAAGTACTGTAACAATGTCCAAGATATACAAGATAAAGAATAACATATATCAGCTTCCAAGATAAACTACGAAAACAATGCGAAGAAGATGATAGAAAGTTGGAGTGCCTCAGTCTATAAACTGGAGCTGGTTCTAAGTTCTTATAGCACAAATAAGTGCTTCATACCAAAGCCATGATGTGCAAATACATACCAAAGTCAGAACTTCCACTGAACATTCTAGCCGTGGTGTCTTAAGAAATAGTCATTGGCTTACCATCCACCATGTCTTGAGAAATAGTCATTGTCCAACGATATAGCCAGAGCAACAGTTACAGCTCTCTCCAACAGAGTCAGTGGACGTATGACTTCCAACTCTTCAATCTGCCATCAAAAAAGTGGCAAGAATATTAAATGGAATACACCATAGTAAGGAGAATATCATTTTCTGATTGGGTACTCTACCAAGCTAGCAGTACCGGTCTTGGAGCTGGGATCAGAACTCCCAAAACGGATCACATATTGACCCGCATCAGTAAAAATCTGCATGATGTGGAAGCATAATGAAACATTAGTTGGTATGCATGCAACATAATATGCTGGCATGCCACATAAAAACCAATTTTTTAACCGGTAAATGCAAATATAAAAGAACCATGGCAACAGAAATATAGAGCATTACGCTTCCATGAGTGCTGAATCAAAGAATTATCTCAAACCTAATATGCTTTTTTCTTTCTTTTTAACGTCTTGGACTCAACTAATCAATTCCTGAAGGCACACGCAGACCCTCCAATCCCAATAGCCGGTACAAACAATCGGAGGTGGCCCCACACTACACATCCGTCAGGAATTGAACACGAGAAATATACATAAAAACTGAACCACAACTAAGAAACTCATCATTTGATAAGATCAAATTTACCATAAATTGCTAATCTGAAAAGATAAAGGTCCCCAAATGCATCTTCAAAAACATGACATACTTTCTTCACAAGATAGTAACATTATATAATTGACCGCAGTTATCAACATTGACATGATGAAACTAATAAACAAAAGAAAAGAAAAGAAAAACAAACCTCAAAGCCAAAACCCCTCCAGTCACGATCTATCTGAGCCAAAACTTCACCGTCAATGTCCTTCAAAGTAAAAGTCCAATTCCAGAAGCCAGGGTTTTCAACAACTGCAAACTGCTTATCCCTACAAACCATTTTATCTTGGGGTTAGACGCAAAAGATGAAAGCAATGCAGAAGACCAAGAATAAAACCACAGTTTCAACAACAAAGCAGCATAAGGGAACAACGTGCAATATAGGGCACTAACCTTGATGATATGTATTAACTCATTTTGAGTTTAAATAAATAATTACAGGAAGAGGAAAAAGCATTTGGAAATTACCCCAGGTACAAATCATACACCCTCTTCCAAAGATGCCATCGTCTGTGAACCACGCCAACTTCCTAGAGAGTAAAAGACATCCAACACCATCAATAACCAGAATGCTATTTCACATACTCAACAATCTTTAACACTGTCGTGACCACCACCAGATAAAATATGTCATGTTGTCCTACCTTGCCATTGATCTCTGCATAAATTGAGCTGGTTATCCACCAAAAAGGCCTGCGAACCTAAATAAGGTAAAATGAGGGGTCAAGCTGAAACATCAATATATCCAAAATTGGAGCATCCACCAAATTATTACAATTTATTTATTTAAAAGGCCCTATATCCTCACCCTAAAGAGCTCATTACCCATGGCATCAGTTATATAAGCAACAAAAGGGCGCCTCAGGCGAAGCAACTGCAACATGAAAAGCAAGCATAAGCACGGGAAAACCTCTTTAAGATAACATAAAGGACAAGAAGCAATAAGTTGCCAAACATAAATAATTCTATAATTTGGCCAGCACATAAACTTTAACAAGTGAGATTAATACTTGAAGATAAAATAAAGTACTAACAACAATGCCATGCTCATGCTACATATACTGTACATGACAGAATACCAATAAAATAAAGAGTCAAAAATTGTAAAGATTGGGTTAGAAAGTACCTGTCTAGTAATAACATGGCTCTGCTCACGAATCAAACCTACAGGCTACAAAACATTGAGTGACAGAAAATGAGTAATTAACTTAAAACCTAAACTTCCTGTATGGGAACCTCAAGAGGATGAAATGAGTTACAACGATTACTCACCGACTCTGGGTAGCACACATCTACTATTCCATACCGGTTTTCCTGGAATTATGTCAAATACAATTAGTAACTAAAGTACCACTAGAAGCCAGATTGAGTGAAAATGATCTGAAAGGCATGTCATATAGCAGAGCATATAAGGACGCACATTATCTAGAGAGAGTGAGAATGTGAGTCAAGCATCTGTTAACCACACTTCAAAACTGTGTTTACTTGACATTTTAAAACCTGTTCACTCAGATGAAGCATTATAAAAGCATTTATGAAAACATTTGAAATAGAAGCAGGATGCCTATTAAATTCAGAAAAATTTGAAGGAAGATTGAAGGCCAAAAATTTGAGGGGAGGAGAAAAAACCAAGAGCTTTCAATAGAAGTCGATTTGACAATTTAAGAACCACCAAATATGCAATCCCCTCTACCACACAATATCAGCAAAGTAAATCAGACAATACAAGACAAGCAAGGTTGAGCACATAATCTTAGTCTTCTGACCATGAGAGTATGAGCATACAAATTAGCATGAAAGAACGATTGTTAGGAAAAATAATCACCTGTTCAAAGCCAAGTACAAGATTTGCCCACTCTATATCCCTCGTAATCAGCATATTTGATCTAGCAAGAAGAGGCATCACCTGGACCTAAAGAATACAACAAATGGCAAGTAAGACATTTTGTGTTACTCAAACTAGGCATATCGAGGGATGATTTGGGTACTAAAAACTTGAAAAGATGAGCATAAGTAGGAAAATGTGGTGTAACAGTTATAGCATGGTTAGATAAGAGAATGTGCTTCCAACAGTAAAAGCAATCACAACATTCCAGTTACATACGAGTAAAACTACCTTTGAGATGCTACTCTTTATGAGCATAGAACTAGTTTAAAGTTTAAACAGGCATACTTACTACAAAACATATACCCGGATAAGCATGGAAAATAAGGTTATTGCAGCTCCGTGTATAAATCTTAAAGCTGAAATTCGTAGAAAAGGAAAAAAAGGAGACAAAAATTAACCTCTTCTGGAGATTCTGGTTTCAGAAATCCCGAGATGGATTGGCTTAGAGGTGGTTGGCCAAAAGGGTCTGCTGCATTGAAAAATGCATCCGGATGCCATCCATAGGATGAATAGTGGTACGGTGTTTCTTTACTATACTTAACAGCTTTCCCTCTTCTCTTTCTTTTGGAGTGTTCCGTTTTCCTATCCGCAACCCAGAGCTGTACCAGGAAGTCCCTAGTCAAGTCAGGATCACGACCAGTACCAGCCTTGTGTCCAAATTGACGAGACAAAGATACCGGGCTCTGTTTAGACCACATGGAATTTCCTTTAAACCTCCAAATGACATTTCTTGCAACAATGAACCTCTGTTCAAAATCTCGAAAATCTGTAGCCACAGTAGCAGCACCAACTCCATCCTGAGGCCATGAAGTTGCTGGTAGACTTCCTCTTTGAGTGTCGTGAATAGCTTTCTGATGGGGTTTTCGAGTATAACAGAATGACGAACCACATTTGGAATCTGCAGCAGTAGCTTTGTAAACCTTGGTGGAAAACCTTGTCCAATTCATCTATAATCTATTACAATTCCTGCCACATATATATTAATTTTTTCTTGCATTAATCAAACCAAAGCCATAAATCCGAGTATGCAGATTGCAGAAGCAATATTATTCTGAAAACAAACATAAACAACAGAAAAGAAAGAATCTTGCTGTGATACTAAGCCAAAGAAAAAAAGTTTTAAGTTAAACAAATCACAATTTATGAAGTTCCTTTTTTTTTCAATCAATTGTTTTCTATCAAACTACCGAAAGAAAAAGTGATAATGTTTACCACCGAGGGCCTAACATGCCGTATGATAAATGGTATTCACTGTTCAAGAAACAAAATTTACTTTTGAAAACCCCGAAATAATCGAGAACCTGCTAACCCTTTAATCGCAATGGAATTTCATTATGAAAGTGTTTTCAAGAAACATGGCATTCTCGTTTCATTTACGGTGTGAAGGAAAACGAACTCACCAGTTCAGGCCCCTTTCTCTCTCTCTCTCTCTCTCCGATCAAGTTCCAAGCTTTCCCTCTAATTTTTCCCTTTTCGTTCTTTCTTTTTGGTCCGAGCTTTCCCTCTACTCTAGTCTCTACCTGTGTGAATGAGACAATGAAAGTGGCTTTGTCAAAGGGGTCGGATCCCCTGTGGTGAGAATCACGTTGCAAAACAATTCTCCTAATGGGAAATAGAGGTGTCAAACGGGACGGGCCGGCCCAGCACGGCACGAGCCCAGCCCGTTTAAATGAGGCACGGCACGGCACGAGCACGAATATTAATGGGCCGTGCTCGGCACGGCACGAAAACTTGGGCCGGGCTGGGATCAAAAAATAGGTCCAATGGACCGGGCCGGCCCATGGCCCGAGTCCGCTTCAAGCACGGCACGAGCCCAAGCACGGCCCATTTAGCATTTTTTTTCTTCTCAAAAAGTCAAAATGCAATAATTTGACATCTAATGTCATTATTTATATGTTTTTTTAAAATAAAAAAATCATAACCATATATTTGATGTCTTTCATTTTAGGAAAATTACTTGGGTCCTTAGTTAATTAAACATATCAACTACAAATTAAT